CTAATTGTGTGTTGAAATAAACACCTATATGATAGGAAAGTGAGCATAAATAAATCTTCCTTCGTCCATTCAAAGCATTCATTATCATATTGTTGTATTATTCAGTCATTCCTTTCAAGACATCAGGTCATGCATTTATCATTGCTTAGAATTTACGTTGTGAGATCAGCTTCTAATATCCTTGATAGTTATGATTGATAATGGTGGTCGGTTCTGTGCCTTCGTTAGAATTACCATCACCATACGGTGCCATATTCTGGTATTGGCCTTGTGCGATACGATCTGAATTTAATTTTGCTCTATGAATATCTAACACTCATTTCTGATTTGTGAGTTGATGAATTGATGAGGCTCAATTAAGGGACGAACGATTACAGAACGTACGCTTGATTCGAAATAAGTGGAACAGAATAGAATTTTTGCGTCAAATTCTTTCAAAATCGATCGGTCGAAAAGAAAGTAATCATCAGCAATAGACTGAACGTACCGTTACGCAACTGGTCGACGGACGGAAGTGGCTCGATACGAACTTGTTGAATGCTATCGCCAGCTGCACCGTAACCTCCAATCTTTGCTAGAAACACATCTGTTCACTAATGTTTTGGTTGATTGTACGTGATGTTTTTAGGGTACGAATGTTCTCAGTGATAAATGCGTTTTTCGTTATCATCGCTGCTTTAACCTTTCCCGAAAGAGGAATATTTCTTCTATGTTTATTTCTTGAATAAACCTCATCTGCACAGGTGCTAATCTTTGTAGCTAGCGAAAACTTGGTTCGTATATGAAGCAAGCTGAGGTAGACTTATGATCACCGCTACATATTGCGTTTTGCATTTGACAATATTTGTGACACAGTAGGCAAAAATCTTTGCACACCACCAATTAAAAAAAATTTTAATGATCAATTTTCAAAAAAATACATACACTCCAAAATTTTTTAAAAATGGATTCGTATACAACTAAATCAAAAATGTTGCGGAAGTTTCTCACTTGAATTGAATAAAACATCGGTAAGCAAAAATACTCTGTTTTTCGATATAATGCCTCTATCAGCTCTAGTCGGAGCACTACACCAGGCAATGTTTCCATCTCCTCAGGTCTTTTGTAAAAAATTGCTGATGCTTTGAACTCAATATAGAGTTTGGCGTTTTTGATTTCTCACATGAAAATAAAAGGATATCGCACAAATATTTATGCGTCTGCATATGGGAGCATTTGAACTGTTATGTTGATGTAGAGGAAAGTTGAGTTGACTTTCAGAAACTAACATTCTTTGGTCTTCAGCGTTTTTGCATTCCACGGTTCTTCCTCGTCTTTGGGTTCAGCCCAATCTTGTAATTCACCAGAAGCGAATACCGCATAAAAGGTGACACCAGTGAAATGAATTAAACTCGATAGAAGAAACACTTTCTCCCATCCATGTGCACCTCTTGCGATGAATTTCTCAGTGACAAATGGACATGTCAATCCAGCTAACGTCCCGATTCCATTAGAGAATCCCATTAATATCGCAGCATAACGCGGTGCTATATCCAAATGATTCACATTGAATCCTGCAAACGAACATATCGGTTTCTAGTAACAAAAGTCATTGAAAATGAATTTGAAAATGAATTGTATAAGAATAAGAAGTCGTGAGAAATTATTATATGAGTTCGTCCGATTGCGATCGAAGCGTTTCATTTCCTCTAACATTTGGCATTCTTATGGCTCGATGCATTCATTCATGTTAGTGCAAGATTGCTCAATCTGAACAGTTCTGGCGTTTCATGAGGTTATACATTCCACTCCTCGGTTTCAGGTAAATCTAGATGGTATTGTACTGCCTTACCAACAGCTGCTCATATGATCTGAGACTCTCTAGCGTATTTTCATGAACTTTATTGATCAGTGAAATTGTTTTGGGGATTAAAATAGGACTAACATATGAACTGTTCGTGATTGAAGTGAGAAATGCATTAAATGTTCACAATTCTACTTATACCTGAAATAGCGAATCCACTGGAACCAACAGCTAAAATAAGTG